TCTAACTCTGTCTCTCTCTCTCTACCTCCTCTTCTCCATTCCTCCCTTCCACTCGCCCTTCCTTCCTATCTAGGGCCCGTCGTCTACCGCCACGACGGGCTTTCCTTACTAGTATCTGATAAAGGGAGCTTTGATTCCTGAAAACTGATATCCTAAAAATCTTGTTGGTCTCCAAGGTGTTTTTTTTTGTTGTTGTTCAGTCGCACAGTCAAGTCCGACTCTTCATGACCCCATGGACCACATCATGCCAGGCCCTCCTGTATTCCGCCATCCTCTGGAGTTTACTCAATTTCATGTTCGTTGCATCGGTTACACTCTCTAACCATCTCATCCTTTGCCATCACCTTCTTCTGTTACCTTCAATCTTTCCCAGCATCCAGGTCTTCTCCAGTGAGTGCTCCCTTCTCATTATGGTGGCCAAAATATTTGAGCTTCAGCTTCAGTATCTGTCTTTCCAGGGAACAGTCAGGTTTGATTTCCTTTAGATTGACTAATTTGATCTCCTTGCAGTCCAAGGGACTCTCAAGAGTCTTCTCCAGCACCATAGTTCAAAAGAATCTATTCTTCGGCACTCGGCCTTCCTTATAGTCCAACTCTCGCAGCCATACATGACTACTGGAAATACCATTTCTTTGACCATGCGGTCTTTTGTTGGCAGGGTGATGTCTCTACTTTTTATCATGCTGTTTAGGTTCGCCATCGCTTTCCTCCCAAGGAGCAGGCGTCTTTTAATTTCATGGCTGCAGTCACCTGGACTCAAATCTCACTGTTCTACTGCAGACTACCCTTTGAAATAATCTTCTGCTTCAAGTGCACATGATCTCACACACCCACGCACCCAAGAAGAGGCCCACAAGCAAGTACTCACACATGCAGAGGAACAGCTCCTTTCCGGCCCCACTCCCACATGGGCCAAGAGGACATTAACCAATCTGGACATCAGGTCCAGGAGTCCAAAGCCCACCAGAACCTGCCTGCTCAATAGAGAGGTGTTAACATATCAAAGAGACAACCTGTTTTCTCTCTGGATTGTAAAAACACTAGTCCAGCTGGATGAATCCTTTCAGGAAAGTAAATCTCTATATCTGCCTGTCATCAGTAACATAGTTTTAATATATTAAAATTATGTAAGCCTCTACTCTGCTGCCAGTCTTCCAAGGAATGTAAGCTTGCCACGTACTGTCGTCTTGCCTCTTGTAGGCTCTCTTCTGTCTCTTTTGTTATTCTAACACCTAGTGACTTTAAGGTTCCTTAATATCCATTGTATTCAGTCACTTTCATGGATTCATTCTTTTTTTAAACTCATTATTTATTAGACATACAGATGTGCCAGACTATCAGGGGCAAGCAAGGTATCTGCCACATTCCTGCAGTCCTGTATTGGCCTGCAAAGGCCAGTGCTGCATGCTATGTAGCATCGCTTCCCTTCATGGCAATCTGCCTTAAAAAGAACTCTTCTGTACCTGCCTTAAAACACTTCCTTGTGTTTATTCTGTAGTGGTGCGTGTTCTCATGCCAAGTGGAGGACTGTAGGCATGTTGTGCCATGCCAAATGTCTTCCTTTCCTGCTCTCCTCTTCTGTCTGCTTTCTTGAGGTGCAAAACTGTTCCCTGTACCAACTTGGCAAGCGACAATTTTAATTGCCAATAAAACTGGTTTGGATTTTTATTTAATTCATTTATACCCCACTTTTCTCCCCAGTGGGGGCCCAAAGCAGCTTACATTGTTAACCTCTCTTCCATTTTATTCTCACAACAACCCTGTTAGGTAGGTTAGGCTGAGAGAGTGTGACTGGCCCAAGGTTACCCAGCAAGCTTCAATGGCATAAGTAGGGATCTGAACGTTTGTTTTCCAGATATTAGTTTGACACTCTTAACCAGGACAGCACACTGGTTGTTCCTTACTATATGCCTTACTATCTTCCAGGAAACTGGACACTAGGATTCTGTGAGAGAGCAGTACAGTCTTGGAAAATTTGATTTTAATTTGATAGATACCAACAAAAATACAACGGGAAATCTGTTACCCATTGAACCCAAACATAGCAAAAAACAAATGGAATTACAACATGGATTAATAGTGATAACAATGGCAAGAAATGATTTTTAAAAATGTAAACAATGTGTGCGTATCCCGAATAGCTATAACTGTCTGATGAACATGTCTCTTCTGTTAGTCCCGCCTATATTTAGGTTATTCATTTTGACTCTGCAGTATTAGTATTTACATGTAATTAGTTATGAGAGAGAGAAATTAATGAGCATAAGAAACAAACTGCCATTTTTTCTGATGCTCAGGGAATTTTTGCTCTTTCTCATTTGTATTCAAGTGAAGTATGAAAGCATGGAGTTGGCTATAATACTCTAATTAGTCCCTAGAGGACATAAAATGGACAATGGACTGCTCATTAGCCTGCTTGCTTTCTGTGAAGTCTTGCAAACTGTCTAATCTTGTGTGTTTTATCTCTTTTCCAGATGTTGCAACTGCTTATCCTGATAAGAAGTCCATCTTGATGTATGTGACATCACTTTTCCAAGTCCTGCCCCAGCAAGTTACACTTGAAGCCATTCAGGAAGTGGAAACATTGCCACGTCAATCAAAGCACACTAGAGAAGAGCGTGTCCAGTTACCTCTACAGCGCTTTTCTCAACAAGTAGGTCCTCAGAAATTTTTCACTTTCCATTTTATTTTTAGATTGAAAATGAAAAGCAAGACTTTGGAGTGAATATCTTAGTTAGGCAGAAGGAGAGTTATTGGGATAGTTAGTAGGACAGAGAGAAAGTGTTTAATTTTGGAAACCCATTAAAAACATAAGGCTTATGAGCCTTTAATTTTGTGTTAATTTTGGAACCCATCTTTACTGTTTGCCCCCCCCCAAAAAAAGCTATAAGTGGTAGTTGGCTGTATTTTTTGGACTTCTACCACCAATGTACAGGTGACAATATCTAAAAAGGCAAAGCGGTGGAGCCATTTCTCTATATATTACGTCCCAAAAAAAATGGAACTAAGATAGAATTCTACCCTGAAGGGTGGGAAATCTATAGCAGTTTGGGGTTCTGTTATACCCTAGGATCTTTTCTGCTTACAGGGGAAGAAAAAACACCCTGTAACTGGTAAGTGGTTATACTTTGGGGACACTGTTTATGAATTTCTGGGTGACAGTGTCCTAAAAGACAAAACTGTAGACCAAAAGAAAATGCAACCAGAGTGGTCATTTTTCATCAACTACTGTATAGGGTTCTTATTTGCATGAATTAAATTGTTAATTGCTGTGCATGAGTTAATGGCCTGTTTTTTAAAAAACAAGACTTTAGAAAGGTATACATTTCTGTGTATATTACTACTGTGGTTTAAGTGGTATGCTACACTTTTTTGCTTGAAGATAAAGGATGAAAGGTAAGATTGTAGGATACATTTTTTTGTGTCTAGTTCCTCAGTTGTGTCTGCTATTGCAGATTTTCGATCCTAACTTCTTAACATTGTACTTTAATTTTTACTTCACACTAACGTAGATACAGGTGGTCTGACGCAGCAGAACAAAGTTTTGACTCCAGTGGCACCTTTAAAACCAACAAAGTATTACTCAAGGTATAAGCTTTCATGTGCATGCACTGAAGAAATGTGCATGCCCATGAAAGCTTATACCCTGAATAAAACTTTGTTGGTCTTAAAGGTGCCACTGGGCTCAAACTTTGTTCTACTATCTAACATAGGCCGAGTTCAGACTGGCAATTTGAAGCGCTAGGGAGTCATGGCAAAGAAGACAGGAACAGACCCGGAATGGCTTGGTCGCGGTATTCCCATTCACACTGCAGCGAATGAAGTGGGAGGATACAGTGGAGAAAGTGCAAGGGAGCATTCACACTGTTGGCTCACTCCTGGCAGGCTGTTAGTGGCTGTTTCTGTGCTCTGCTGCATGTGCCTATGTGCATGGGCGTATGGGTGCCTGCCGCAGAAACAGCCAGCACCTATTATCAACGACTGCGGGTTGTTCCCGCCTTAGCAGCACTTGCGTTCATACTCAGGGAACCGGAATCAACCCGCTCTACACACGGTTTGCTAACACTTTCACCTGATACTTTTTAAACTCGGGAGGGAAGTGGCACAAGATGGCTTGAGTACGGCTGGGGGATGCCTGAAAGATGTGCCTGTGTGAACCCACCCCTTTAATCTGCTCCTGAAACGCTCCTGAAATGTTTGGCTGCCGGACCAAACTGCCAGTCTGACCTCGGCCATAGTGTTGCATAAGCAGAAACTGAATAGTTCAGTAGATCATCTAGGTGTCTTAGACAAATGAGCCAAGTAATATGCAAGGCTGCTAAGAGTGACCATGGGGCCCCAGATGAATAATCCATCTGGGGCTCCTCATATGACCCTGATTCAAGCTAAGTATCATAGCAAAATAAGTAACTTGAATTAGAAACAGTCAGGGGAAAAGGAGAGGATTGTTAAAGAATAGATTTTACTTATGGTTTATACTGTGAGATCCAGCTTGGTGTAGTGTTAAGAGTGGCAGACTCTAATCTGGAGAACCAGGTTTGATTCCCCACTCCTCCACATGAAGCCAGCTGGGAAACCTTGGGTCAGTCACAGTTTTCTCAGAACTCTCTCAGTCCCACCTACCTCACAGGGTGTCTGTTGTGTGGAGAGGAAGGGAAGGTGATTGTAAGCCACTCCAAGACTTCATCTGGTACTGAAGAGTGGGGTATAAAACCAACTTCTTCTACTACTACTTCTTCATATGGTGCAAAAAAATGAGAAAGCAGAATTAGAAAGATCCCCAGCCAAGGGACTATATCATCTACTTAGTTTGTGCCTCTCAATATTTCTCTCTGTAGTCAAGTAATTTTATATTTACATATAGTGATCAATATGGGATACAGCTCATGCATTTGATGAAGTAAGCTCTAGTTCACATAAACTTCAGGTCCCAATAACCTTTAAGTAAATCAGTAAGAAAACAGTTTGCATTTGTAGTTTTACCTAGCACAAAACCAGGGGCAAAATAGGGTGTTGAGTGGGAAGCAATAGGATCACTGGGATTGATTTTAATCTTTTAAAAAGATTAAAACATTTGTCATATGACATGAAGTTTAATGCCTGCAGTAGCAAATCTGCATTTACAAACAACCAAATATCAGATGTCCCACCAACACAATAATAATAAAAACCAATTGCTTGAACAGTGTCTAAAATATAATTAAATCATTTCTAATTATTGAGGGGAGTATTTCTAACTACTAATCTCAGACCTCATATATATATTAACTACATCTAAAGCAAGATTAAAAATCACAAACACAAATTATAGTCAAATACTTAGACTACAGTGTTCTTTGTTTGTGCTGTTTAATCCATAAAGGCATTCACTATTCCATATTTATAACCATTAATACAGATTAATACAGATCACTATACATGTGAAGGGCGAAGGGAGGGGGGTAATTTACTACTTTAATAGAACTTTGGAAATATCAACCTGACTGTTTATAATATTAACAGAGGTTTGCTGTTCATAATATTAACAGGCATTTACTATTCTACTATAAGTATGGTTTAACATCCCAGCCAGGGTAAGGATATTTATTTATGTTATTTATAGGATGAGAAGGAATAAGACCAAAAATTAAACATATGGTTGGGGGTTCTTGCCTTGCTCCAATGCTTGCTTGGTTAATGGGTGAGTCAGGATAGGCAACTATTTGTCTCAGCTTCATGTAGTAAAGAGAGCCATTTTGGTGTAGTGGTTAAATCTGGGAGAACCGGGTTTGATTCCCCACTCCTCCACTTGCACCTGCTGGATGACCTTGGGCAAGCCATAGTTCTGGCACAGCTGTTCTTGAAAAAGAGCAGTTTCTGTCAGAGCTCTCTCAGCCCCACCTACCTCACAGAGTGTCTGTTGTGGGGAGGGGAAGGGAAAGGAGTTTGTAAGCCGCTCTGAGACTCCCTCAGGTAGTGAAGGGTGGGGTATAAATCCAATCTCTTCTCTTCTTCTTCTAAAGTATCCAACCTGATGGATTCAATGTGTTCAGAATTTCCCATTTTCCCATAGCATTGTGGTTTCTTTGTGTATCTCCCAGGGTTTCCTCAGATTTTCTCCAGTCTTTCTCAGTCTTCATCCAATTCGGTGCTCCAAGGTTTTGGGAAGGATCATAGTTGAATCTGAATGATTGCTGTGTGGGTGGGGGAAATTCAGATTTTCCCCATCTATACAGCAGCAATTTCCCCTAAGATTGTCCCTGCAGTAGCCATTTCTGTCCTCTGCCACAGGAGGCTTTATTTTTTAACCCTTCTAAGACATTTGGGATATTTCACACCACAGAAGTCATTAAAATATTGGTTTACCCATCTAAAGCTTTCTATAGAAACCAAACTCCCGTTATGCTTCCTCCCCAATGAACTGCAGTGCCCTGAAGTCCCTCTCTTCCCTCCCCACTGCCTTTATTTTTTTAAGTTTGAGGTTTATCGAAAGGGTCAATGGGCCATTCTGGCCCCCAATAGACTTGGCTTGAAAATAAAAGCATAATCGTAGTTAGGGTTCTAATGACCCCAGCAAACATTGAGAAATGATTTTAGCACTGTTTCCATGTTTAAATAGATGGGCCAACACCTGTTATCTCCATTTTATAGGAAATTGCAGCAAACAGTGAAAACTAAAATTTCTTCCCACAAATTATATCTATAGGCATTTATTGGTTTGAGGGTTTTGGAATTGGGAGTTGAAAGAACCCCCAAGAAAAGCAGTGTTTGCAACCCTGGATTGTTGTGTTATGTAGTAGGAGCAGGTAAAAACCCTGTGTTTGTGCTCTGTCAAAGCTTCCCATATGTTTATAGCCACATGGAAAAGCTCAAATGTAACTGTATTGAAATTTTGGAAATGGGGTCATTCCAGTCCCCTGCAAGACAAGACTGGACATGTTTGCAAGTGTTCTTTGAACCTCACATTTTTCAGACTTGAAAGGGCCATTCAGCTTGGTGTTCAGCTCAAGTGGTTAAGACGCTGAACTGCAGGCTGTGGAAGGTCAGTTGTTCAGCAGTTCGAGACCCGGGTGCCGCATGATGGAGTGAGCTCCCATCTCTAGTTCCAGCTCCTGCCAACCTAGCAGTTTCGAAAGCAAGAAATTGCAAGTAGATAAATAGGTACCACTTCAGTGGGAAGGTAACAGCATTCCATGTGCCTTGGTGTTTAGTCATGCCGGCCACATGACCACGGAAACATCTTCGGACAGTGCTGGCTCTTCGGCTTTGAAACGGAGATGAGCACCGCAACCCTGGAGTCAGATTCGACTGGCTTTCAAGCAAGGGAACCTTTACCTTTACCTAGCCATCTGTCCTCTGAGATGATTTTGTTGTGCTCTATCAAAGCTCAAATTGAACTGTATTGCATTTTGGAAATGGGGTCATTCTATCCCCCTAAAAGACAAGCCCAGGCATGTCTGCAAGCATCCACCGAACATTTTCTACACTTGAAGAAGCCATGCAGCCTGGAACTCAAGATGACCTCTAGTCACCTGTCCACTAAGCTGACTGTTTCCCTTCAAATTTTCCAAACCCCTGAGTGACCTTCTCAGCTTTACATATTTGGGGAGGTGTGAGGTCACAATAACAATATAAGGGGGTGTGAGATCCCTGCATAGTTTGGCATACCTATAGTATACTTCACTGAGATTTTGCCTAGGCTTGAAATTCAAAACTCCTTTGAAGAAAAAAGGAAGAATGGAAGAACTGTGTCTTATACTTTAAACAATGTTAGGGTCAATTTGACCCCATTTACATTTCTGTGGTTTTTCTATGTTTTCAATGGGGATATTTTTAACCTGATTCCAAATTTTACTCTTCTTTGTCCTGCATTGCTGAAGGAAGTTACTCTTGGGGCCTGATTTTTTCCTAGTAGCTAATGCTATGATTGATATAACTATTAGGTTTCCATTATTTTACTTTGACCCCTATGCTAAAGTATGTAGTCGTTTATGTTGCCTTAGTAGGGTTAAAAAGATTGGCACTAGAATATCATATCAATACTATGTTACAACAAATATGTGTACCGGTTTCCCTGAATTCCCATCTTTCATTTTTAAAAAAATCAGAAGTACGTCTCTAGCCCCTCCTATTATGAACATTATTATGAACATATAAGGGAAATGCATATGTCTGCAATGGAAAGGGTAAGGACTTACGGGCTTTTTTTGTAAATGAAAGCTGGGAATTTAGAGAATCCAATACACATGAGCCCCTGGAATTTTGCCACCCTATCCCCTATGCTAGCTATGCTATAGGGGAAAATCAACCAATTAAAGTATATTCATCTGGGAGAAACATTGTTAATGACCTCCAACTTGGTTAAGTGCATAACTATCCATTTGCCATGCCTTCTGAGAGACTGTTCCTTTGCTTTAAATCAATAGTCTACTCTATTTAATGTTTGCATTTCTGGCAGTCCTAGATGAACAAAAGAAGAAAGAAAAGAGAGCAGGGACAGCCTAAATATTAGAAGGAGGAAACCCCATTTCCAATCTCAGCTATAACTGATGCAGTATATTAAAAACAGAATGTTGTATTTTGCTTTCAAAGCATGGTGCTCTGATGATTTGTCTAATTTTCTTACTCCTGGAAGCAGTGAGCCCTACAGTTCGTGCTAGAGGAGGCAAAATCTCTCTTTTAATACCTTCACATACCCAATTTTGGCCCCGGTCACACGAGAGGTTTTGGGCCGGGAGAGGGACGGATTGGGGGCGGAGCAAACGGGCGCGATCCCACTGCAACATCTGTGAAGCGTTGCGCACTCGTCCCCGATCCGGCCCTTCCGCCCAAAATGCCACGGCAAAAATAAACCACCTACCGAGGTGGTTCTTCCGGCAAGCCCGCATCAAGGCTGGCTGTGGGATCGCTGGCGCGTCCTTCCGCCGGCGCATCCCCGCCTCCTGGCTGAACTGCGCATGCTCAGACATGCGCAGTTTGGCAGCCTCCCCCTCCCAACCGTGGCATCCTCCCTGGCATCTGATCTTGCCAGGGAGCAACGGCGCCGTGGCGCAGGGGATCCATGGGATCCCGTTGCGGCGTCTCTATTTTGGTGCGACTCTGATTAGCCGCACTTTGCCCAGGTTATTTTCTGCCGTGTGGCAGGGACCCATATTTTTCTTCATTTGGGATACAAGTAAAAGTGTTGTTACTTCCCACAAGCAGTGATAATGTCACTTGTGGTTTATCAGAGTTATGTAAATGATAATACTAGACATCAATGGGCCAATTGTTGCCTGCGCTTTCATTCTCTTTTCAGGGATCCCCCCCCTTCCCTGAAGTCCCTCCTTTCACTAACAGTGAAATCTTAAAAAACACTTTCCTGTAAGTAAGGAAAGTTGACTGAGTACGATTCATAGTAGACTTGCTTAGAATTGCTCTCTAATGAATAACATGAGCCCATTTAGCCTAACTGTCTCTTCACTTCTCATAGACTCCCCTGTGTGTATGGCTGGGATAGTCTTTCCCAGATGGATTTTTCTGGATTGTGTATACAGGGGAATATGACCACAAAGTCAAACATCCATGTGTCTTCTCTGTGGATATTCATTTTTACAGTCGTATCTGATGTGGTGAGAAGTGGTGTAACAGAAGAACAGCCATTTGGCTTTGTTTTATTTAAAACTAAAAACATATTTTATGAAGCTGTATCCCTTGACCATATAGGAAATAAATGTATAAATCATTTAAACCTATAGATTAATAGGGGTTTAATTGACAGTTGTATTTTTCTGTAAGAATAGGATAGGTTAATTAAAACTTGGAGGTCCATGGGAAGTCTCAGTCTATTTCTTGGACATACCTTGAGAATACATATTCTACCCTAGAAATATTAGCCTTCCTTAAAATTATATGGCATAAAGTCATTAAAATTCCAAGATCTATTCTGATTATTTATCTGGGTTAGTTAACTAATTTATTTATAGGATACATGATCATTTTAAGACTTGTTCTAATGGCTACTGTGCACATTTATTCAGAGCTTACAGCAAGGTATTGCTTTTGGAGTGCGCTGAATTATAGAAGTCCTTTACTGATTGTGGGTATCATGCCAAGAATAATTATCTGGCACTTCAAGGAGTCTTTCTACCTCTGGTGAAAGGATGTCAGATTAATTAACATGCCTCCCTACTTTCCATTTAGTTTTGATTGCTTAATGCCAGCACTGTTTTTACAGGATAGAGTTAAACCGCTGGTGTTCTCCCTTGAAAGTATTTTTTTAAGAATTCATCCATCATATTACACACACTCATCAGTGCATATCTGCTTTTTCTTCTTAATTTCTTCTCCTTAGATCAAAGTCAGTGTAGCACAGGGCCATGTGCGCACACCTTCACCTCCACCTAAACCTCGCTTCAAAAGCTATGCGTATACACAAGCTGCTTATGTCATGTCCCCTGATCAAAAAGGGAGGATGTTCCCTCCACAGGTCTGTCAACATTACTGTTTGTTGTGAATATTATTCTAATATGCCTGTGCTTGCTGTGGAAACTGTGTGTAATTTGGGGAATTTTGTCTGTGTCTCTTTTAATTCTCAGCAATGCCCTTTTCATTTTTAGTCCTATCAGTTAGTCCTTTCTGCTATGTATCTGTTCTTAGCAAAATCAGGTCACACCTACTTTTATTCATTAGGTGATCTAAGGATCTGGTCAATACTGATGTTTTCCTCCCTTTTTGTTTCAAAATATGTCTTAATGATATCAAGTAATAACATTCCTAAACTTTCATCCAAAGAACAACACAATAATTTTTTGAGGACAAGGAATGGTTGACCTAGGTTCATTCAGGTGGCAATTTTCCATTGTATATGGCAAACATCCTTTAAGGGGGGTTTCATAAGCAGTATGTGATATGGCATAGAAATCGGTGGTTCCAAGGGAAGGAGTCAAAACTTCCACTGCACATGCCTAAAATTCTCTTTTGGCTCCTGGCTACTGGCTGGTATTTCTTTCTGACATATATGTACAGCTAATATTTCCTAGTAGCATAAATATTTCAGTTGCATGCTTATGAAACACGCTTTCTCAGGCTTGGATCACACATGCAGTAATTTTCATGGATGAGTGAGCCATTCTGGAGAAAACACCACAGATTACCAGTCCAGAACACAATAAATGCTGGTTCCTTGTTAACTCATAACCCTCTCAGAGGCCTTCCCTTCTTTACCTCACAGAACACAGTCTCCTTCCTCACCTGTAATTAAGCAGCTCATTACTGACAAGAACAGTGGTTAAGGTTAAGCAGTTTCCCTTAAACCAACATCTGAAAAAGTTGGAAGAGAAACTTTTACGCAATTCACTCTTCTTTCTTTCATTTATGGGTAGAAAAATATTTGAGTATTTCAATCTATTAAAATTTTCCATATGGTTCATATGTAAAATTTAGAGAAGAAAAGGAAAATTTGCCTCAGAAACACACACATATTTAGAGAGGTTTCATTCTCAACTATTTAAAAATAAATAGTGCTAAGTCTGTATGTTTTGTGTGGGGTGTTTGAAGACAGCATCCACAATTCTCCTGATTGTCTCATCAGTCTTGATCTGAAGACAGTGAGATTAACAATATGCTTTAAATACATGCAGAAAATGTATATTTTCACTACCATTTTATTTACTTATATAATTCTTTTGTACCCCACCTTTCTCCCCAATGGGGATCCAAAGCACATCACTTTGTTCTCCTTTCCTACATTTTATCCTCTCAACAATCCTGTGAGGTAGGTTAGGTTGAGAGAGTGACTGGCCCAAGGTCACCCAGTGAGCTTCCATGGCACAAGTGGGAATTTGAACTTGGTTCCCCCAGATACTAGCCTGACACTCTTAACTATGACACCACACTGGGTCTTGTATCTTTCCGGTAGGCAAGTGTCAATGAACTAAAAGTAATTTGAAGTAATTAAGAAATAATGGGGCATGTAAAAAAACCCCAACATTTTTCCAAAGTAGTGACCAGATTGGGGAGATGAGGCTTTATTTTAAGCTCCTGACCTAACCTGCTGTTACTAACTTATAGTGACTCCAGCAAGGAGCTTTCATGACAAATGAGAAGCAGAGGTGATTTGTCATTACCTTTTTCCTCAGAGACTTCCTTGGTGGTCTCCCATCCAAGTACTGACCCTGTTTAGCTTCCAAGATCTGACAAGATTAGACTATACTATGCTGCCTTCCCTCCCAACCCATTGTTAGCTATCAGAAAATTCTGAGCTCAAGGCCATTTCTGCTGTCTGTTTTCTTCATTTTTTGTTGTTTCTTTGTGTTTTAGTTTATCTATAGGTATAGAATTTTTTTTAACAATCTATAATTATAGCAGGAAAACCAATAGTTCAGTTTTAAATATCTTTAAGATTGGGTGCATTGTTCTCCAGGAAGATAGAAAGCTAATTATAACTGGAAGCCCTTTTTGTGTTTTGGTATCTTCTCTCATGAAATCTGTTTTGTCAGCCTATCACTGAAATGCCTTATAGTTGAGGAAATCCTCCTATTTTATGGACCCTAACCTTGAATTTTTGGGTTTTGATAAAGCAGTGTCTGTATACAACAACCTTTTCTTGGTAATTCTAGGGCTGGGCAGTTATTTCAAGAAGCGAGGGCACCCTCTGTTAGTGAGAGATAGGGTTGTCCAACATAGCAGCAATAAGGGATTCCCATAGTGTCAATAAAAAGCCTGGAGCCTTGCAAAGTTCCTGTTACTCTATCCTGTACTGTAAAATTTTAGAAAAGCAAGGTGAAAACTGTTTAAAAACCCAAACAGATTGCTATAGAAGGAAAGGACATCTCAATGCACTCATATTACCTGAGCCTGCAATTTATGCACCCAGTCTTAAAGATATTTAAAACTGAACTCTTGCTTTTCCTGCTAGCAATTTGCTCTATGCTGGCCTGGCATTCAGGCTGACCTGGACACTTCAACTGATGCAGAATGCAGTGGCACAGATCCTGGCAGGAATGTCACGGATGGAACACATACAACCTGTGCTGCATTAGCTGCACTGGCTTCCAGTAGAATTCCAAGTCAAGTTTAAAGTTTTGGTGTTGACCTTTAAGGCCTTGAGTAGTCAGGGACCAACCTATCTGTGGGACCATCTCCTCTGGTATGTCGCCGGGAGAGTGTTATGCTTTTTGGATAGCATTCAGACCCAAAGATGTCCAGCTGTCCATGACTAGGACCAGGATTTTTCAGTCCTGGCCCTGATCTGGTTTGTTGAGGACAGCTACGGTTTCCACTCTAGCTGGCACCCTCTTTTGCTCTCCAGATCAGTTGTCCCTCTTCCTTCCCTGCCCACAAGGTAGCCGGGCAGTCTGGAATGGGGAGTGATTTGAGTTCACCATCTGGAGTTTTAACTTTATTTATTTATTTATGGATACTGTTGTATTTTAATTGTACAAGTTTTATGTTTTATTTACTGTTGAACATCGCCCATAGCCCTGCATTAGCAGAGATGAGCAATTCAAAAATCTAATACTACATCATCATCATCCCTCTTCCCCAAATAAAGATGTAGATGAACAGGGTATCTAGAGGGTGGAGATATGCTAATCTACTGTAGCACCTTTATGATGGACCCCTGCTGCTTCTTTTTCTGCGAGGCAGATTTTCCCACTAAAACACTAAATAGGTGTTCCCCACTCTGCCAGAGCAGTCCCTTGGTAGTGAATGATAATAAATGGTTTATGACTTTCTGAGTGTCCCACCCTGTGGTAGAGAAGATATTTGGCTTTTGCCCAGGCCAGAGATTTATTGTAGATAAGCAGGAACACACTTGTTATTTCCTTTGTAAATGGCACTTGACATCAAGTAAAGTTCAAACAGGAATGATGCCTTTATTAAACAGGCAGAGTTGGGTTAGGAATAGGCAGAAGATGAGAAAACTGAAGTACATTTTGCTGTATTTACAAATTATGATATTTTGAACAGGCTACAAAGTATTGTTGAAGCTTAGTTTCTTAGCCACTCAGTTCTTAACAATGAGAGATGTGTTTGTCTTGGAGGTTTATTTGTCTTGGAGATTTCTCAACAGCAACAATATGTCTTAATAAGGATTAATATAACTATCTTAGTTTCCTGGAGATTAGTACTTTCTTCTTGTACTTATTCTCCCTCTTTGTGGGATTAAAGCTTTCCCTTTGACTCTGGAGGAGTCTACCATTTCTTTGTTTTCACCCAGTTCAGGGGTTTCATCAGAATTGAACCCACTGAATAACTGAGAAGAAAATATTCTCCTTTTCTAAGAAGCAATATTCCTTTTTCTGTTTGGCTAGACTGGCAGCTTCAACCTACTGACCAATCCGTCCTACCAAAACTGACCCTCACTTCTTGACCCAGTGAAATAAATGGTTTTCAGCTTGGCTGACACTTAGAAGTTTGGAACTTTCCTTCAGATTTGATGGTGCACAGTAAGGACAAGGAGTTGTGTCCCTTCACTTCATAAGTGAATTTGTCTGTTTCTCTCTGACAGACACAGTCACTCCACCTGTCTGGGTTATGACATGCCAGAGATGAAGCAAGATGAAAAAGACCCTTTTTCTCAGCACTGAGCTCTTCTTAAAGCTCTTCTTAGCTGGCACTGAGGAATCAGAGAGAAGGAGAGTTGCGCAGGCAGCAGCCTGTCAATCAATCTATGCTTCACAGTGAGGCATTAACTCTTAATCTTCCAGCTCCCTGAATTTTATGCACTAAGCATCCTGCTTTTGGAGGTCAGTACATTACAACCTTGTAAAGCATTCTTCTGCCAAAGCTGCTTTGTGTAAGGAGAAGGAATCTGTTAGATAGTCTGTAGTGAAGGAGTTGTAGACTTTATCATCACTGCCTTACACACCATTTCTATTGGTGGACAGCCTTTGTAAGCAGCAGAGGAGACCATCCTTGTAGGGAGTAAGATTGGTAGGAGATTGGTAGGAACAGCATATACAATCTCTACTCAAACAAATGTTGGAAGTGCAAAAAGGTTGAGGGCTCATTTTATCATATGTGGTGGACTTGTGAAAAAGCAAAAAAAATTGGGTTGAGATTCATGCAGAAATGGAAAAAAATTGTGAATGTAAATTTAAGAAAGAACCAGAAATATTACTTTTGGGACTAAAAAGGGAAGAGGTCAGTATGGCAAAAAGGACACTGATGTGGTATATGATTACAACTGCCAGAATGACATATGCTCAAAGTTGGAAGCAAGATAAAGTCCCGGAGACTGGAGATTGGATTAAAAAATTACTTTTTATGGTTGAAATGGACAAGATGACAAGAAAACTTAACAATATGGAAGCAGAAGACTTTTGATCAGATTGGAAAGATTTAAAAGACTATTTAGAGAAGAATTGGGATGTAAGAGACAACTTATTTTGCTTTAATAATTATTCAGTGTTAAATTTTAACAATATGGAATAAGAAATAGAGAAATTTATATATGAAGATATTAGTTACCTATTGAACTTA